CCAGTATTAAAAGCGCGCCAGACTGAACTATAGCGGGTAGGGGTTACATGCAGGTTACATGTTCAGGCGGTAAGCATTTTCAAGAAGGGACTAGAGTAAAACCCGGGATAGTGGTTCTATTCTTGGGGTTGGGGGAAGGCATGAGGGTCCTTGGGCTGCTAACGTTCTGTCTCTCGACTTGAGTGGTAGTTTCCGTGGGTGTTTACTTTGTGGTCACTGACAGGTCTGTACATTATTGTTGTGTCACCTGTTCCACAGGACTATAAAATTTTACAATTGTACCTACATTAGGAGTATACATAAAACTCTAGCGTCTTTTAGCTCTCATAAGACAGAACCTGCCTTCTAATACATGAGCTCCCTTTTCGACTTTGACACACATCTTCAGAAATCCATCACGTGCAGGAGCGGGAGACAGGGGACACCCTGTCGTGTCCGGGCCAGAGAAACCGTCACGGTTCTTAGCAACCAGATCTCAGGAGCTCAGAGATGGCAACATCTCCAGGTGGTGGTGATCAGAGACGGCAGGAAGTTGCGGGCGGTCAGAGCCTGCTGTGTTCCCGTGGAGGCAGGGGCCGGCTCCGCGTTGCCCGGATTTGGAGGGCCTTTGGCCCCGAGGTGCTCTGCAGGTGGGACAGGATGTGCACCCCCCTTTCGTGGCGCGGAGTGGTTCTCAGCAATCTCAGAGGTGATTACTGCAAGGGGCCTCTTGGGACCCCCGGAAACCGAAGGCCTGACGAGACTCCCAGCCCTTCCTACGTTACAGTACGAGGAAAAAATGTGTTTGCTGTCAGAGTTGCGGTAGCTGTCGCAGTTCAGTTCTAAGAATAAGACCATATTTTCTCTAAATAATGATAATGTTAAAAATATCGTCCTGTGTCAGAGGTTTTTACGTGCTTTCATTTTTTTTTTTTTTTAAGTGAGGAATGGGTATTCAATTTAATTGAATGCGAATTTAGCATTTTTACAGATGGTTCCTTAGATTGGTTACTCTATTTGACGTTTTCAGTATGCTGTATTATTTTAACAGATCTCCTAATACAAATAAATTTTTCTGCCCTATGATAAAAGCTACTTCGTGTTATGGTGAAGTATTCCTTTAATGTGCTGTTGACTTTGTCACTACAGCATTAACTGGGAAGAGCATGGGTTCTGGGGTCAGACCTAGCTTCGCCACCGACTAGCTCTGTGACTTAGAGTGACTTCGTCTTTCTTACCTGGTTTTCTCCTCTAGACAAGGAGGATACTAATATACCTACTAAAGATAAACTACCTGTAAAACAGCACACTGTGTCATATGGAATAAGTGATTAGTGAAAAGAAACAGTGCACATACATCCTTTTTTTCCCCTTGTTATTTCAGATCTTATATCTGAATTCTTAGGTGAGGTTGAACTGCGGGTTTGTGTATGCTGTCTTTGTCAGGTTCGAAGAGGAAAATATATTTTATTTCATTTCTTTAATACATGAAAATGTGTAGGGCACATCCTGGTTTACATAGGAAGCACCAAATACGTGTTGATGTGACGTTAGCTATCGTTTTTATGAGTAGGCACAGCATCTTGAATAAAGTGGTACTTTTTTCTATTAAGTTTTGTGTTTTAATTCCAGCGTAGTTAGCGCACATCGTTACGCTAGTTTCAGGTGTACCATATAGCGATTCAGCTATCACTTTTGTTACTCAGTGCGCTCATCATGACAGGTGCACTCTTAATCCCCATCACACATTTCACAAAGATATTTCAGTACAATGTCAGGAAGACATCCATCCCGTATCTTCCGTAACGATAAGAGCATTGAAATGAGCTAATCCTTGACAGTGAACATGCTCACTGGCAAAACCAAAACCTTTCTCGGGAATAATTTTTTTCACATTGTTAATTTCCTCCACACATTCTGGTCCATTCAGGTTTCCTATTCTAAAATCAATTAGATTTGGTTGTACCTATTTTGGTAACATACTGTTTTTAGAAAACCATCCATTTATTGAGTTTTAAAATTTAATCAAAAAGAATAAAATCAAATAAACCAGATACCTGCCCCAGATCCCCAGAATGTTCTACAGAAACCAGAAACAAATCTAGAAGCAAATGCGACCATTTCAGAAACTCTTAGTATTTAGTTGTCTTACTGCGTAACATTTCCCAGAGAAAAGCATTGGTCCACGATCCCAAGATTTCATATGACATGTATGTGTGAACAGACACACATACTTGCACATGCGTTTATGCACACATCCATCTACACTGCCAGTGGCAGTGCCTTAGAGCCTTAGTGTTACCTGGGAATGAAGTAGACACAAAATAAAGAAAGATTGGGTGGTTTCATTGTTTTCCGAATCCACGCCCATTTCCAGAATCTGCCCACCGTGAACTTATAACTCATTTGGAAGAAAATGCGGCATGGAACTCTACTTGATAGCATGTGGAAAAAGGGCTTTCTGAACTTGGTATTGGACCGAGGTGCAAGACTCTGTGGCCAATACAGTCGTCCCTGGCCACACGTGGTCATTTAAAATTAAAGCTAAGTGAAATTAAAACTTCGGTTCCTCAGTCACACAGCCACGTATCGAGTGCTCCGTAGCTACGTGTGGCTATTTAAATGTAATTTAATTAAATAAAAAGAAAACTTCATTTCCCCAGTTATAGTAGCCACATTTCAGCTGTCCAGTCATCACAGTGCAGATACGGAACATTTCCATCGCTGCAGAAAGTTCTTGTTCAAAGTGTCTCTCTAGACAAACTCCTGGGTCACGCCAGCCTGGCTGTGAGCATTTATCAAAGCCAGATCCATTGTCAGGACTTGACTAGGTGTCCTCAAGTTCTGTGATTCCTTGTTTAGAGTTGTACTCATCGAGCTTTTCTTCTCCTGGTTTTTAAATTGGCAAATCATATTTTAAAGAATTCATATGTCAAATCTTACGAAACTATTTATTTTCCGCTCAAAACCATATTATCTAAATAGATGGTTGATTTGTTTTGAGAGCGAACAAAGCGGTGAAATTCTTATGTATGCAAAGAACTCCCTGAAGGTCTGTTCCCGTTGGAGGTGGTCCTTTCAATCCGAAATGAAAGTGGTGTTTGAATTTTGATAGAATGTAAAGGACCGATCTTTCCTAGTAAAATAATTTTCATGTTTCTCTGCTTCTTCAGAATCCTCATTGTGTCACAGTTCTGCATGGAAGTTTTGATGCCATTTTTATTGTAACCTTGTTATTTCTCTTGAATTTGTAGGTTTGCGAAGATTCAGATCAGCGTGTCTGAACCGATTATTCCATTCAGGGAAACAATTACAAAACCGCCAAAAGTCGACATGGTCAATGAAGAAATAGGCAAACAACAAAAAGTTGCAGTTATCCACCAAACAAAAGAAGATCAGAGCAAAATCCCGGAAGGAATCCAAGTTGACTCTGATGGGCTCATCACCCTAACGACCCCCAACAAGCTCGCCGTGCTCAGTGTTCGAGCCATGCCCCTTCCAGAAGAAGTCACACGGATCCTGGAAGAAAATAGTGATCTGATTCGTTCTATGGAGCAGTTGACATCCTCTTTGAATGAGGGCAGAAATACTCAGACGATCCACCAGAAGACCCAAGAGAAAATTTGTGAATTCAAAAGAAAACTAGAGCAGCACCTGACAGGGAGAAAATGGAGGAACGTTGTTGACCAAATCTGGTCATTTGGGCCAAGAAAATGCGGGCCCAACATACTCGTAAATAGAAGCGAAGACTTCCAGAACTCAGTATGGACAGGCTCAGGCGTCAAAGCCTCCAAAGAGGCCAGTAGATACCGAGATTTGGGCAACAGCATCGTGAGTGGTTTCCAGCTAGCAACCCTCTCTGGCCCCATGTGTGAGGAGCCTCTCATGGGCGTCTGTTTCATTCTGGAAAAATGGGACCTAAGTAAATGTGAAGAACAAGGGGCAAGTGACAAACATAATCAAGAGCGAAGGGACGTGGTACAGGAGGCACAGGCGGAAGGTGAAGCCTGTCCCGGCAGAGGCGAAAACGGGGGGCCGCAAGCTGGCGGCTCTGAGCCCTCAGAGCAGAAGACATCCCAGAGAGGAGAGTCTTCGCTCACTGACTGCTACGGACCCTTCTCCGGACAGCTCATTGCCACCATGAAAGAAGCTTGTCGCTATGCCCTGCAGGTGAAGCCTCAGCGTCTGATGGCAGCCATGTACACGTGTGACATCATGGCCACCGGTGACGTTCTTGGTAAGGAAAAGAGGGTGAGGACCGAGAGGTCTCTGTGGTCAGAAAACTCAGACTCACTTAATTTTTGTTTTTGCAGAAGCTGCATCGTCATCTGGGTCACTAAAGCACTAAGGGCTCTGAAAGCCTTAAGTAGTGAAATGGCAATGGGGGAGGAAACACGATTACCAAAGATCTTTTCGTTTGCAGCAGACAGGCTCCTTCCTGTTCCGACGGTCTCAGGCCTAAGGTTTGACGTGCAGCGGTGTTCCCGAGTGAGTGGCCCTGTCGGTCCAGGTAGGCAGAGTCTGTCTGGAAACCATCAGAGAGTGAGGTGACATTCTTGCACACCTAAGGCAAAAGGCCGTCTGGAAGTGCCGGGTCCTTTCGGGAGAAGAAGAGCATCGGGGGCTTTGTTCACCACTGACCATTCCGTCAGATCCTCCTCCCGACTTTTCTGTCTCTGGAACGTCTCTGGGATCCCTGGAGACACACAGCCCTGGCATTTAGTAGCTGCTTTGACTTTTGACTATTACTTCACGGAGACTTTGTTCACCTGTAAAAAGGAAGATAACCGACCAGAGGCTGTGAAGATTAACCCGAGAACACAAGTCCGTGCTTTAGAGGGGTGCCTGGCCTGCGGCAGCTCTCCCGTGAGAGAGGCGGCTCTAGAACCGTCTTCAGGGGCCAGGACGGCGCTGGGGAGCTTGTAGGTTCCCTCTGAGGCCCTTTGAGTCAGTGTGTGCTTAGTTTACATTCTTTTTAGTAAGGTTCTTCTGCTGATCAGTTCCTAAAAACAGGCATCTAACTCGTCAGGGTATTTTTTCTCTAAAGAAATTTGGGCTTGCATCCACAGTAGGGTTCCTACGAGACGGGCCAAGCATCCAAAGCAGCGTTTCGGAAGCAGCGGGGTTGAACAGTTGCAGGGGGTTGGCCCCGCAGGACCGCCCGCCTGGAGCCCGTGTGTGCCACTGCACGCGTGCACGGTGTCTGCAGGGTGACAGGGAGCATGTGATGTGTCTCGGCCCCGTTTGGGCCAGCGTATCGTTATAAGCTCATGGGATCCGTGCGTTGGTGGAGGAACACCAGTTGAGACCATTCCCGGACGTTATTCTTCGTTTTCACCAAGAGTTTTCTTGATTTGCGGAGGCGGAGGCGGAGGTGGAGTTGGAATCGGGGAACCGTGCAGGAGACCTGGCTGCTCCGGTTACCCCGGCCCTGCCACGAACCACCGCCACCTGAATGCTTGCCTCGACGGGCAGCTCACAGCCTGTCCCCTGAGGAAGCATCGTCTTCCCTCTGTGGTCGCCTGCTGGTCTGCGGCCACGTGCACTGCCACGCGCCCCCCGCGCGAGCACTTCATGCGCCCAAGGAGCACATGAGTTTTCTGCTCTATGTCCCTGAGAAACCTCTCCGGAGCCTTCAGCTGATTTTTCACGGTGGGATTTTTGGTGCCCTTTCACCGTTCCCGGGGCTGTCCTTCGGGGCACCCCTCACTTGCTCCGCACCCGCTGGAGAGCAGCCATTGATGCCAACCGGCGTGGGCGCCACACGGCCCCCGGCGCGGTAGCGATCTTTCAGTGGGATTTAGCCACCGCCCCCTGTCGTGAATCCCTGGGAAGCCAGCGTGAGCCTCGTTCCCGTTTCAAGATAAGTCACGTCTTCCCACCCGTTCCCCAGAAAGCAGAATCCGAAGTTTGGCAACTGACCAGACCGTAGAGATGACGGAGTCCCGCGAACGCGTGTGTTTCTGTGAGCACCGCACACATCTGGGCAGTGCAGTTTTCCTCGGGCTTCTCACACACCCAGCAGTACAGGGAGGATTCTGGGAAGTGCCAGCACCACAGCTGTAACACACGGATTGTGTTTTCACGTGTCTGCTCTCGTGAGAACTGAAACTCAGTAAGGGGTGAACTGAGTGGGTGGGTGGAGTGAGTCTCCTTCGTGTCTGTAGGTTCCCCCGACGGTCATCTTGCCAACCGTGTGGAAGTAAGCTGAGGTTGGTGAGGTTTTGTGTCAGAAAGTCCATGCGTCTCCAGACGCAAGTAACTCCTGCTCGCAGAAATATGTACAAAGCTCTATGATGTTTTCTTAAAACACTGCGGGGAATTGGCATATGGCTTCCTAGTCTGCAGTTTATAGAATCAGTGTTTTTATCCCCCCAGAAGTTCATTTGTTCCTTACCTTTTGCCTGTACTTCAGCACACCTCCCGTCATCGATAATTTCTCAAAAAAGACAAGTTCTTTAGGGCTGTGAGATGTGACCCTGGCCCGGGAGACGGAACCCATTCAAGAAGGCCAGCTGCCTGCTCATCAGATTCCTGGGGGTCCTGGGCCCCGGTGCGCTCTCTGCTGTGATTGTTCGCCCGGCCCGTTTGTCCCCTGTTCTCCCCAGCGAAGAGAATGCAGGAGACGTGGATACCAGGACGCCCTGCTTTCCGGCGCTTCTCTGTTGACGCCACACTCATTTCTCCACGCTGTGGGCACGTCTCAGCCTTATTTCCAAACTAACGCAGCCGACCACGCTTGGTGTCGTTCATTGGCCCTTTTATTTGGCGGGCTCAGCTGGCTCTGGTTTTAACAGCCCTTCTTCGTCCGTCGTGCGCGCCTTCCTACAATAGGCCAGGAGGGCGCAGCAACCTGCCCGCCTTGACCCGACACATTTATTTTGGAGCCACTGTTGTATTTTGGGGTGGGGAGGATCTCTCCTCCTTTTTCTGTCATTGGGATCATTCATGGTTGGTATTTCTCTCTCATTACTCCTGCAAGGAATTTTATCTTAGGACTTGTTATCCCAAAACTTGTTCTCCTTCTCCTCCTTCGTGCATTTGAAATGACCCACCTGGAAGTGTAGGGTCCACGCACATCTGTGCCTATCCCTCCGCCTTCCGGACTCCTGGGGTGATAATAGGAATGCACGGTTCCTCCCCAGATTGCCGTCTCTCCTACATTATCTGTTTGGAGTGGCATCTGTCCGTTGCTTTCTGGCCAGGCAGATTTTCCCACCTAACACCTGAAGCCAGAATCCGTGGTGGCGTTCGTCCACTGAAATTCCAGGCGGACCGTCGCGTCTTCCCTGTCGAGCCCATGCTCTGTGCCCGCCTTCCCGTTTCCATTAGGAGTTCACAGGACCCTGCACGTGACCAGGCAGCCCCAGGCCTGTCTTCCTCCTGGCCCTGTCCGCCTGGCCGTCAGACTGCGTCCCGGCGCTTGGTAGGAGGAGACGTACCTTGATCATCCACAGGGCTACTTGACCCCCCTTCTCTCTCGGGAGCAGAGTTAGTCTTTGTCTGGCCGCCTCCAGGTCACTGTCCACTGCGCTGTAGGTCCTTCTGGCCCCTCCGAGGCGGTGCCCTCTGCGTGGACTGCTTAGTCCCGGGCTCTCTGTCCCGGGCGCTCTGGCTGGCGTGATACATCTATCCCCAACCAGCCGGCTGCCACCTTACAGAGACCCCGTGTTTCGATTTGGTCTGGAGTCATTTCCTCCAGAGTCAGTTGGAGGCCCCGCTGCTCAGGGTTGGGGGTCTTCTCTTAAGCCCATTTTGGGTTGCTTCAAGGGGTCCTTTGGTAACGATAGCCACTTTCTTGTACCCAAGGTCAGTACAGCCTCCTGCTCGCTTTCTGCGCTTTTCTTTTTCTTTCTAAATCACCGCCTTCATCCGGAACAAGAAACGAGGAGACCTTGGTGACCCTGAGGCCTTTGCTTCCTGCCCAGATACTCAGACATCTCCCAGACTTTGTTGACGGATGCTTTAATTCTCTAAGAATTAGCACAACGTGAGAGACAAATTCAGGTCTTTCTTATTGAGCAAAATGAGTGTTCTTAGTCTCTCTTAAAAACTGAGTTCTTTCTACACAAGGTGTTAAAGCGAGACATCGTCTGTAGGTGGTCAGAGTAGGGCGTTCTGTAGAAGGACAGAAGCCTGTCCTATATCCCTTCATCGGGGGAAATGGGCCTCTTCACTTACAAAGTCTACTTTCTCAAAGGCCCGGTTCTGTTCTCATTTTTCACCCATGAAAAGTGCCCTTCACTTAGCGGACGTTAGAATTGGTTTGTGTTGTCACGTTCATATTTCTTCTTCTTTCATTCTTGGCTCCTCACTGTTTTTATCTGGCGGTGACATCACACGTTCCTGCTGGTGTTGGAGTTTCCGCCTTCTGTTTTCACCTGTAGGGTACGCGCTCATGTTGCGAGAACATACGTGCCTTGAGGTGTCAGGGACAGTCTTAGTAAGTGCCATTGTTTGCTTTTAAAAGCCTCCTCTGTTCCAGACTTGGGGTCCCTTTCCCATTTCATCAGCCTTTCCTAATTCACTTCAACAAAGCGTACTGACGTGTGTACGTGCCCACACCGTGTTGAAGCACCATCCCTGCCCCGAGAGAGGCTTCAGGCGACAAAGCCTCATTATAGGAAACAGCACGGCTGAATTTAGTGAATAAATGTGGTCTTCCAGCGAAATTTTATGAGAAATTGGGATTAGCAGAATTCGAAACAGGGTAGACTTTTCTAAAGTGATACTTCTTTGAAACGGGCTTTGATGGGTGGAATAATTTTGAGTTGAGCAGCTGAGTGTGAAATTGGCCTTCTTTGTACCACGGCACTGCAGACTGCCACGGAGCTTGCAGGGAACCCGCTCCGACTCGGTTTTATGGGCACTTCTGTTCCGCATTACCATGCCAACGCTGGCTGGTTGGGTGGTTGAAGCCAACAGTAGTAACACTTTGCGTTAACCCACACGGACCTGTGTCTTGTTACATTTGGGTCCTCACCCGGTCACCCTGATGCTGCCAAAGTATTTATTAGCCTTCCAGCCTCCTGTCAACTTCGGATCTGGTCATCATGCCTTCCGGACCCTTACGTTGCTGGTGACCGTCGTGAGGACACGCAGCCGCAGTCAGAACACGGACGCCCGCCTCAGGACATCTTGCCAGGGTGGGCATAACTTGTTGCTGTGCGTTTCCTGTAAACTCGTGGCTGGATTCATCTGCACAAGAGCGGCCGGCCCGCCTCCCCCACTCTGTCCACAGTACGCTGTAGCTCATGTTTGGTCAAAGCCCATCTGTATCCTGTCAACCACACGTGCCTGATTTAGCAGTCTGGTCGCTCTGTAACAAAAGGAAGAGAGGTTAGCGCGACCTGGTTTATAAGAAGTGCCCACCAATTTCTTTGTGTGTTTTAATTGAAGCTACACCGCAAGGGCCACCAACGATAACAGAAACCACAACATAAAAGAAGAATCTTCCTCCTTGAAAATCAACCTGTCATTTTCCACTCTTTTACAGTCTTTGTCTGTAATAGTATGTTTCACATAGCTGTAACCTTATGGTGGAAGCAGTTTAATGTTTTGCTTTTTGCATTTATTACTTCTTTTAAAAGCGTGCTTCCATTTGGCCACTTAGTATTCACAATTTTCATTTTAATCTATGCATAATATCCAATCAACTTGTTATGCTGTAATTTACTTCCCATCATCCCCAGATTGGAAATCCGCATTGTTTCCTGTTTGTTTACCATAAGAGAAAACATTGCTGTGAACAGCTGCTCCCGTTCCTCAATTTTGGAAAAACGAAACGAAACATACCTTTAATTGCCGAGCTCCCAGCTCTAAGGATTGTAGAGTCTCCAGACCAATCTTGCTGCCCATCAGAGAAGAAAATATACAGACGGGAATATGTAGTGCCATGAAAGAGATTAGGAGCTCAATGGAGCCCACATGGCGAAGAGGCCCTTTTGATCTTAGTGTACCACAGGAGACTCGGACCAGGTGGTTCCAGATGGGCTCTAACTCCGTGGAGTTGGCCGAGATGCACCCTAGATTGGAGAACTGTGCCCACAGCGTGTGCCGTGGCAGCGAGTGCCCTACCCCGGCTTAGGGCAGAGGGTCCGGCCCGCATGCCATGGAGTCTGCGGTCCCCGTGGAGGGTCCGCCCCATGTGCCGTGGGGTCTGCGGTCTCGGTGGAGGGTCTGCAGCTGTGGGATCTGCGGGCCCCAGAGCTTGAAGTGAGGGGTTGCTGCCGGGTCACAAAAGGCCTTGAATTTGGGTCCAGACGTTTATCTGTTTATCTGGTAGTCCAAGTCCCGCCCTGATCAAAACTTCGCATCGATTAGACTTTTTGTTGCCATCTTTTTCCCAGTGGATGCTTGTGTCTTGGTGCCTTCGCGCAGCAGGTGCACCGTGACTTTTTGTCGAGTGCAAGGACAGGTGACTGACCAATAGTGGAGCAGGTGCCCTGGTGGAGGGGAGGCCATGTGCTCAGAGGCCGCAGGGTCATGGGTCCTCCTGGATGTGGCTACCATAATTTCCCCGCTGGAACAGTGGCCAGTTTGGAGGGTCTCCGAATGCATCCAAGCATCGGACACAGCTGTTGTGAAAGCCAAGTGCGTTTGGAAGGGTCTCTTTATAGTGGTTTTCCTTTGCTCAGTGATCCATCCCTAGGCCTCAGTTTGGGGATTTCGTTTTAGTGGAATTAAAACTGAATGGCCAAGAATTACACGATGAATGACATTCGGTCTCAGTTGCAGTAACTGGTCGGAGGCCCCTGGCCTGACCCACGCAGGAAGGGAGGGGCTGCGGGCCTCCATGGTGGGGGCTTACGCCTGGGGGAGACGGGCCGTCTTTCTTGCGCTCTTCTCGGCCAGCCAGGCAGCCGAGACTCCTTTTTCCAAGTGGCAGGTGAGCAGAGGCCTCAGGGGATGTGCCTGCCGGCCCCGCAGGTTCCTCACAACCGTGTGTGGTTTTCAGTTGTCTGTTCTTAGCAGAGTTGGACCCCCTCATGGCTAAAAGGATTCTTGGAGCACCGGAGGGACCCTTCCAGAAGCCGGCCTCTGTAGCGGGGAGACCTCTCCCTCCCGAGTGGGAGGCGGCATCGGGCCTGACTGCGAAAATGTAGTTAGCCAAGAGAATGTGCGGGCATTCCTGTGATCTGGGTAGACCTTGTCATCAGACGGGAAAGATGCCACACACGGTTTCCAGGGGAAAAGAAATAACTTAACGCCACTTACGTGTTAACCAGTTTTTAAAAACGTGACCAGACATCTCTGCGTGTTGTTTTCATTTCTAATATCAAAATGTTACTGTGTCTGTTCCTTGCTTACTGGGCCCAAATAGCCTCACGCTGTTCTCATCAAATCAATAATGTGTCATAATTACGAGTATTTCAGTGTGTACAAAGCCCAGGCACACTCGTCCCCTTGGGTTTCACACCCGGAGACTGACCGTCATGGGGGATGTTGCATCAAAAGGTCCTTTTCAAAGCCGCCCGCTTCTCAGGCCGTGTGAGGGGTCTGCCCTTCGGGCAGTGCGGTTTGGGGTGGTTTCGCCTTTCGTCTCCGATTTTTTTTTTTTTTTTTGTCGCGTTACTTTTAAACACTTAAGAAAAAAGTTTTCATGCTTCTGTAAACCAGAATCCTCGGGAGCGCCGTTTCTCACGGGTGGACTGTTACAGGGAGCGTGAGCGGTCGCGTGTCTGTGTGGCTCGGGACGTGTCACCGGTCAGTGAATTTAAGAGCCGTGTTGCTTTCGCAGGTCGGGTCTACGCGGTCTTGTCCAAGAGAGAAGGTCGAGTGCTTCAGGAAGAAATGAAAGAAGGGACGGACATGTTCATCATCAAGGCGGTGCTGCCCGTCGCCGAGAGCTTCGGCTTTGCTGACGAGATCAGGAAGAGGACGAGCGGCCTGGCCAGCCCGCAGCTGGTGTTCAGCCACTGGGAGGTAACAGCCCAGCCCCGTCCCGCCTCCTCAGGCGCCGGCGTGCTCCCTGCAGATGACCCCGAGGGTGGCAGCCACCGCCGGGCCTCCGTGGGGCCTCCGCTCAGTCCCTCGCCCGGGAGAAGGCACGGGGCTGTTCTCCTCCGAATGGAAGGGTCCTGAGGTTACGTGGGGCCTGTGACGCACACATACACACACTCATTCTTCACTTTTGTTTGACGCAAAAGTTAAGACGCAGAGCGTTTGATCCTGCGTTTCCCTCTGAAGATAGCGGTTAGAATTTTAAGGGAAAAGTCACAGACATGTTGAAAGTGAAGCTCTCAGGAACTTTTCTTCCAGGGGGGAAATACTTCGGGCGTTTAGAGGGGAACGGTCGTGTTGGCAAGGAGCAGCTCTAAGCTCCCGTGCGTTCTGTGGCCCTCAGTCCCCACCGCGGACTCTGCGGGTTTCCGCGACTTCCGTGCGCTGTGGGGTCAAAGGGTCCATCACAACCCCTCGCTGTCGGTGTCGGTAAAGGTGGGCAAAGAGCAAACCTTACCCGCACTTAAAACTGCAGACGTGGGTCCGCGTTGCTGGGGGAGAGGAAAAGACGGTGAAGACATCGTTGTTTCACTTTTGGGGTTGGGCGGGGAGGGTACTCACACGGAGTAGGGAGGTCAGACCAGCCTCCCTGAGCAGGTCCTGGAAGGAGAGCTAGCCGGGCACGGAGGAGGAGGGCGCCGCGGGACAGGCGGGCGAAGGAGAGTGGAAAAGTCTGGTCACCTTCCAGACCCGTCTCGGGTCAGGAGGAGGGTTTGGAAACTACGGGATGTAAGAAGAAGGGCTGTTTTAGGAAACGAGCGTTTGTTGTCACTTTGCAGGGAACAGAAAGCACGGCCCACGGCTCCCTCTCCCGGGGAGGCCCGTGCCTAGTGGGACCAGCGCCGGCTGTGCTGCCACAGGTTCGGGTTGCAGAGACCCCCTCTGCCGCGTGCTTGGGCAAGCCGGGGGGGCCCCCAGAGTGCGGCCCGCCCCTGGGATGGCGTGCTGACCGTGCAGCCTGGTGCCCGACCGCGGGAGGCTCCTGGTGCTGTGGACGCGCTCGGGGCTCTCTCCTCTAGCCCTGCCGAATCACGACTGTTTACGTCCGGTGCCAGGTCGTCCCTTTTCTCACTTTCTGTAGCCAGACGGGCCCCTTTCTCCAGAGCAGGATTTAAAGAAACCGTTGAAGTGCGGGTAAGGAAGGGGAATGTGGTAAGTGAGGGAGAACTTCCTTTTTAAAGTGAATTTTGTAGTCAAGGAAATCAGCACTTCAGAAAGCCGGACTTTGACGGCAAATCTAGTTTTAATTGGGCGGTTCCTGTCACCTAAACGGACACCAGGGAAGTGGCTGTCCAGAACTGGCAGTTGTGTCTGCTTTTCCTAAAAAAAAAAAACAAAAAAACAAAAAAAAAAAACGCACATCCGTAATGCTCGAAAGAACCACGGTTAATGTTCTGGTGTAGTCTCCTTTTTTTTCTTTTCATCAGTACAGTCTTCATCTTAACAGGGATTTACTATGAAATTTTCTTCATTTTGTCTCTTTGTCTAGAAACTAAATGAAGTTTTGGTGGTTTTATCGGTTTATATCAAAATAGGTATCATTCATTCCATGTTTCACCATGTAAAAAACAGGAGGTCCAAAACATTTATTTTTTTTTAATTTTTTTTTTTAACGTTTATTTATTTTTGAGACAGAGAGAGACAGAGCATGAACAAGGGAGGGGCAGAGAGAGAGGGAGACACAGAATCCGAAACAGGCTCCAGGCTCTGAGCTGTCAGCACAGAGCCCGACGCGGGGCTCGAACTCACGGACCGCGAGATCATGACCTGAGCCGAAGTTGGACGTTTAACCGACTGAGCCACCCAGGTGCCCCCCAAAACATTTATTTGTTAATTTCTGAACTTAAGTGGGTAGTAATTTCCCACTTACCCAAACTTGGAGCTTTTCAGCTTTGTTTTTGGCACTCGATTATTACAGAGGAATAAACACCAGTGAGGGATACAAAGAACGGATTTGTTCAAGCAACTTCTGAAGAACTACGTCTGTAGTGAGTCTATTAGGGATGATCTTACTGGAACGGTCTCCAGAGTCCTCCCCCATGTGTTTTAGGGACCAGGCGTGATTACAGGGCAGTGCAGCTGACATTTAGAACCGAAGGGGGGTTTATCCCACTTAGAGCAGTGACCTCGAGAGGGCAAAGCACTGTCTTCATCGGTGCTGCCGTTCCTAGAACCTCCCCAGAACTTGGAGCTCACCCGTCCGAACATCTTGCCGATGACAAGGTGTCCGTCTCAGGAAGGTGGCCTTGATCCCACCAGTGACAAGGCCGGGTTCTGGTATGTTTGACGAGAACAGAGAGAGTGCAAGTTCGTGATCCCGGGGGATCCCGTGTGTGGACAGACCCAAAGCAGGGATTCAGAGCTGTCGTAGGGGCATCATGATTGGAGGAACTGGGTTTCTGAATTCACATATCCTGTTTGCTAAAAATAAGTGATCGTTTCACAGTCGGCCTTATCCCTGAAAGTGGTTTTATAAAGCACATTTTTAAAACTCTACGAAGTTTTCATTGTTTCCTAATTGGCAAGTAAGCAGGTAAGACTGTTCTGTGAAAACCTTCTCAGAGTAGATTGTCTTCTTCTGGGGCAGGGGCCTGGGCGGAGGGGACTCCCTGGTGGGGGCGGGGGGGTGCGGGGGCTCGCTTGCAGGGGCTCACCGGTGGGGGCGGTGGGGGCTCACTGGCGGGGGTGGCAGGGGCGGTGGGGGCTCACGCTGGGCTGGCCGAAGGCGGGGGCGGGGGCCCAGGCTGCTCCAACTCCTTTGTCAGCACGTGGCTTCTGCTGAGGGTCCAGAGTGGCTGCTCTCCCTCGAACCACACGTCCGCATCCCAGGCGGGAAGAACAGGGAGTGGGAGAATGGGAAGAGGAGGGCGCGTGCCCTCCCTGCAGGGACGTGAATGTCTAAGTGCCCACCGCCAGTCGCGCGGCCACATGTCACAGCACCCGCCTAACCAGGAGGTTGGGGAATGGAGCCTGACTCATCAGGAGTCAGCAGACGATGGCCCGTCACCTGTTCCGGTGAATGAAGTTTCCCGGAACACGGTCGTCCCCATTCTTAGACGTGTTTTCTGTAGGTCCTGTCCAGAGACCGTGTGGCCTGCACTCTGGTTCTTTACAGAAAGAGTGTGCCTCCCCTCCTCCTGAGCCTGAAATACCTGTTAGCAAAGAAAACAGGAGGAGAGATACTTAGGAACAGCAGGTTCTTACCACGTAGGCAATTTTTGTTAACGTGAAAACCACGATGACTTTTCCATCTGCTTTTTCTCTCACTCACAAAAGAAAGGCCAGAAATCTTACGTACTTAATAGTGGTTGTTTTGTTTTGTTTTTTTTTTTAAATACTAGTTTCTGTCTTAGTTGGTTATTAAAAGTCAGTCTCTTGGTAAATTTAGAGACGAGCGCGGTCGAGAAGAGCCCGCTCCAGTTTTGTACCACCGTCTGCCGGCCCCCTGCCACCTGTCCTAGTCCCCACTCCCGACAGCTTCAAATCTGCGAAAGTCTTGAAAACGACGTTATAATTAAATGTCATTGATGTGATCGTTTTTGGCTGTCTCCGTCCTCCCCCCTGGTTGGGTTTAGAAATAACGCAGTCGTTGAGCTCTGGCTTCTCGCTCCAAGCCACTTTCTTCCATTTGTGTTCTATCACACCATATAATTTACAATCAAGAGCTTTTGAGAGAAAGTGCTTCAAAAAATAGAGAAAATAAAATTACAGGCATTTTCCATGAGGAAACCTTTGAAGTCAGCAATCTCATAATTTCTGGGTTTTACCCCTTCTGTGAAAAGGGAAGAAAAGGAGCTAATAACAGGCACAGAGAGAAAAATATTCCCACCCAGTGGAGTTCTACACGCATGTCAGCACAACCTCAAGCCTGGCTGCTCGATGCCGAGACCACGTGGGGGGCGGGCTGGAGTTCACCCGGGGTGAGGAGGCCGCGGCTCTGAGCACAGCAGCGCTGAAGAAGTTCATTCCGGACGCGGTGTCTCCCACCCGCCAGCCACGGTCCTCGCGAGAGCTGGGCACAGACCTGAGACGGGGCTCCCCACGCGCTTCCCTTCTGGGCTGTTGTCCCCTTTCCTCCTCCTCTTCCTCTTTCTGTTTTTGTTTTTAATGCCCAGGACAGCAGCTGGCACTTGGGAGCCTTCCTTCCCGTGCGCTAGAAAATGCCGTCCCCTCCAGGCTGTGGGGCTGCAAAACAACATTCTCGCTGTGGGCAGATGAATTCTGGGTGAACCAGTTAGAAAATAGCACCTTTTCTTCCAAACTGATGCGAGCTCTGCCCTGTGGCCTCGAGGGTGCCGTTCTGTAGCGCACGGCCCGGTGTGGGCACCCGAGCCCCCCGGCGAGGGGCGGTCTGGAGCGGGACTCCAGAGGACCCCAGGACGGAGGTGAGTGCAGAAGGTAGGCTTCGAGTCTACCCTGGATTCTGTGCGGAGGGCCACACAGAACGGGACCTTTTGAAACTCCTGGTCTTACCGGTTTTGAAACAAGGACCGGTCTGAGTCTGGTGTCTCTCAACTAGCATAGTTCACTTGCTGCTCTATACAAAACGCGTCACTTTAGGGGCGCCTGGGTGGCCCAGTCGGTTGAGCGTCTGACTTGGACTCAGGTCATGATCTCACGGTCCGTGGGTTCGAGCCCCGCGTCGGGCTCTGTGCTGACAGCTGGGAGCCTGGAGCCTGCTTCGGATTCTGTGTCTCCCTCTCTCTCCGCCCCTCCCCCGCTCATGTGCTGTCTGTCTCTCTCTGTCTCTCTCAAAAATAAATAAACATTTATAAAAACGCATCACTTTGTAAATAGGATTAACAGTTTCTTCACCACTACCCCCCAGACCTGCTGAGAACATGCAGCTTCTTTATATGCTCTGATGGGCTTATGTGACGTGAGGGGAGGACGCCAGTAACCAGCTTAAAACTAGTCTCCCGCAGCGTAGACGGTCTGTGGACGACTGCCGGGGGTACGTTCCGCTTCCCGGCTGTCCCCCCAAGGAGAGGGCTTCTGTGGCCGCGCGGTGCGAGGGAGAAGGGGGTCTTCACCAGGAAGCGCCACCGGGCCTGGCGTGGGGCACCGGCTCCTCACCAGACACTTTTTTCCGTGTTTGGTAGAAGTCGCCCTCGTGTGCGAGGTGGAGCTTCATCGTGGTTTTGATGTGCGTCTCCCTCGTGACTAATGACCAACGTCTCTTCGTGGCCTGCTGGCCATTCGCACATCTTCTTTGGAGAAAGAGCCCTTTGAGTCTTCCACCCGTCTTTCCATGGGGCTGCTCGTCTTTTCTGCTGGGTTGTAGGAGTTCTTTATCCTGGACGTCGAGTCTGTTACTTTACGGGGTCTTCTCAGCGGTTCGCTATTTAACCTGCCTGCCGAGGTTCTTTCTTTTTCATCCTTCGGTCTGAATTTATTTCTAGGATTTCTAGCTCTTACTTTTTTACAGCTGCCTCATGTTTTATGGATGCAGCGCCCCCACACGCCCCTTACTTCTTGGAGAATTTTTAAGTGAACTCTGTAACTCTCTGTCACTCTGTCACCTCTCTTACTTGGTTGCGAATGCTCCCTCTGTTGAGTCTGGTTACTGTTGATTGGGGTGGGGGTTTCTGTCGTGCCCTGTGCGAAGCCGTCTTCAGTCGGGTCTTTCCTCCCCCCCCCCCCCCCCGCGTCACCCTGGGGCATCCCCAAGTCACCTGTCCCTCCCAAGCGCCACAGCTCCGCAGCCGCTCAGCTCGGCGCCTTCACCAGGGCGGATGGCGCAGGACCACGGACACGGGCCCGGTACGATCCGTCCCGCCCTCTGTCCCCCAGTGGTAGCCACGGCCCAGGGCACACGTGGTTCTTCCAGCTTCAGAAAGAGGGCCTGGGCTGTGTGGCTGGGGCCCGTCCTGAGCGGGCAGCGGACCTGGCCTGGCGCCCTGTGGGACGCGGACAGGGGTTTTACCCCCATTTACTACCGTGGGCTCCCCTCCTCCTCCTCCTCCCGGTTCACAGACCAGACCCTTCCATTTCTGGAGCTGAAGAGCATCTACTTCCTTTTCCGCCATTTCTAGATTTTAAATCGAAAAGCGTTAGGATTTGAGGCCACTTAGTAAATACCACCCCTTTCTTTCCTGAATTGAGAAACGAGGGAAAACGACAAACCGGATAAGGTGTGTGAAGGCCAGACTCTCACCTTCGTTACCTGTCAGGCTGACCTTGGAGAGTGTGGTCTCGACCGTGGAGGGTGCGGAGCCCCTGCCGCCACATTCCCGAATGAGACCAGCCAGGCCGTGGGGCTCCTGCCGCAGGGCCGGGTCAGGGCGGCTTCCGTAAGTGACGCGGAGGGACGGGGTGGACTGTGCACTTCTCGTGGAGCGGGGAAGAAGGCCCTTGTCCCCCGGTCCTCTCTCTTCTCACACTTACCTGTCACATCCTGGGGGAACCCTTGGCGAGGAGGCAGAGACAGGCCACGGGCGTGCGGCTCGTGGAACCTTCTCTGCCTGCAGGAAACTGTCCGCCCCCTCTGTCCTGGACCTCAGGGAAGTCTGTGTCCAGCGTGGCCATCGCTGTGGGCCTCGTGACCCGGCAGCCGCTCATCCCAGAGGGGCTGGCCACCCCCACGTCACTACTTACAGACCAGCCCCGCCCCCCGCCGCCCCCCTCCCCGGGGCCCCCAGGCTCTGCCCTCTCCCTCCCATCAGGAGGAGGCTCCCCTGGACGTGTCCCCCTCACCGTGAGGGCGCCAGCAGGCGGGGGCCCAGACCAAAGAGGGAGGACGGCAGTGCTGACTGCCGCTCGTCCCGACAGAACACGGGCCAAGCGGCCCGGCTCACCGGTCACACCGCGGAGTTTGGGAGCAAAAGCTCGGCGTGACCGGAAGTGGGCTTACGGGCGTTGGTCTTTGCTGGGGACGAAGGCAAAGTGGAGGAAAAGACCCCGCCGGTACCCAGATGCATCCGAGCGAGAGGGGGAGCTTTTCCGTCACGTTATTCAAAGTTAAGAGTCGCCCTTGTTCCTCGGGGTGACGTCGTGCACCTTACGGGTTTGTTGAAGCTGCTTCCCTCTGCTCCCTCACGACTGTTCCCTGCCCTTCCCAGCATTGGCTGTTCGCGGCCTAACTTTGGTTCCTCGGCCTCGCGCTAGGAATCCGGCAAGGCTGTTTGAACTCCAAGTGTGCTTGCCTGACCTGGCACGTTCTGTCCCCTTCTCTCCCAGGTCATCCCCAGCGACCCCTTCTGGGTACCAACCACCGAGGAGGAGTACTTACACTTCGGGGAGAAGGCGGATTCCGAGAACCAGGCCCGGAAGTACATGGACGCCGTGCGTAAGCGGAAGGGTCTTTACGTGGAGGAGAAGGTGGTGGCGCACGCGGAGAAGCAGAGAACCCTCAGCAAAAATAAGTAACCCCGTCCCCGGCAGGGCCTCCTCTTGGGAACGGAGGCGTCACCCCAGGCCAGACACTGGGAGAACCTCTCTGAGCTCACTGTCAATAAAGTTGATGCTTATAAGTATTTTAAAGAGGTGCGAGAGAACGTGTTTCCCAAGTGGTTTTGTTGACCCATTCTGGTGCGAGGCGAGAAGTTCCCGGCGTCCCGCGCCCGGGGGAGCTCGCCCCGGCGTGGTCCTAACTGATTCCCAAGTCAGGCCGCGTCCTCGAGAGGCCGCTTGCAGTCCGACCCGGTCGTAGCTGACCCTCGCCCTGCTGGTCTGTGCGGCCACGCTGTCCCGTCCGATTGGCGCTGGCCTCAAACCTGCTTTCGCACTCCCTCGTAAATCACATCGCTCGTGTTCAGATAGGTGTTGGTGAGAGTTAGGCCGTAGGCCTGTTCTTTAGAAAAATAACTTCTGTAACTTCCTCGGTGGTTTCCTGTTAATCTTCAGGGACGTTAGCTAACGTGACGAGATTATTTCCTTTATTGCCAACACTCTTAAACCTCCTCGGTTGGGCCCTTCGGGGAGATCTCCTGGAAAGAGCCAGTCCGATTCGGCAAAAATAGATTTTGTAATTTTTGATGCTTGCTGCACTAATAATTTTTATAGCCACTTAAAAGAAGGATTCTCTTTCAAAACACGTACGACGATCAGATCAGACTTTGTTTTTGACAGGCTTTCAGTGGGCTTTCTTCCCATACACTAGGTCAATAAACGAGGTCCTCATACTAGTTATGGAAACGTTATCTCTGTTCGTTGGAGCCATGGCCTAGCTGGTCGACGCTAACTGACCCCGACTTTGGCGACGGTGTGGCTACATAAGTCACCGTCAGTTTAAGCTTACCAGGTACAGATACTTGAGTTAACTCAGGAGAGTTATTCCGGGCATCGGTTTATCTTGAAAACTTTGATAGGGAGGAAAAGCTGGCACGTCGATTGGCAGCCTTCGTAAACAGCACCCTTCCGAGCGCCACACATGCCGTGAGAAGTACTCTGGGACTCTGCCCCTTCCCGGCACTCGCTCATTTCGCAAGGAGGCGCAGCCCCAGACTTGGAGCTCTCTCCGCGGTCCCGTGGGGCCCTGCCAGACGCGCCGGCACGGGGGAGGTGACGCGGCACCGTCCCCACGTTGAGGGAGACGGTCACGAGTGGTCAAGTGACCCCGGAGAAGCCGGCCGGGGGGGTGCGGCCAGCCCCCCGTGTGAGTCGTCCACCCCACGTGCGCGCCGTGGTGCCCCCCCCCCCCCACTCAGGAACCACGTCCCTGTGCGGCAGGTGTGGGTACCGAGACCCGTGTCTTTGCTCGCTCGTGCCCCGGGGCCGTGCCCAAAGCCTAGCCTCACTGGCAGCGGGAGTGTTCCTGTTCTTACGCAGGTGGGGTGTCTGTAGTCAGTTACGGGCAGGCCTCGGGCAGCGGGGGGCCACCAACCCAGGACCCTCGCTCCTGGAGGACTTGGCATTGATGTCTGGGGACAGCCGTCCTGCTCTGGGGACGGGCACCGGACAACATGGCTGTAATGCCTTTTCCCCATGACCCTGGAGCACAGGCGGGCCAGGGGCCGGGGCGGGGAGAGAGGCAGAGGGACGAGCTGCTTGGGTCAGTGTCCATAGATGTGAGGGGAGATACCCAAGTCCTGTTGTGATCCCTAGGACACCACACACACACACACACACACACACACACACACACAC